CTTTAAAAATTCTCAGTGCTTAGGCCATATTCAAGTCAGTTTCTAGGGGTGAGACCCAAGTATCTTGGTGGGTTTTTTTTGTTCTTTTGTTTTGGTACCGGGGATTGAACTCAGGTCCTTGCGCTTGCACAGCAGGCTGAGAAACCACTGAGCTAAATCCCCGGCCCTATCTTGGTGTTTTTAAAGTTCCCCAGATGATTTCATTGTTATAGAAATTGAGAACTACTACTCCTGCCCAATGACTGAACATAGTAGATATTCAATACAGTAAATCCATCACTGTTGAAATAGACATCCCTAACTACCCAGCTGCTCCATTGTAAATCTTTCCAGTATTATAGCCAACCAAAAATACTTTTGTATTAACTTTATTATTATTTTTTTGATTATTATTTTTTTTTTTTGAGGCAGGGACTCTCTTTGTAGTTCAGGCTGGCCTCGAACTCTCAGTGATCCTCCTGCCTCAGCCTCCCAAGTGCTGGGATTACAGGTGCGTGCCACCATGCCCAGCAACTTTATTTTTCAAAAGGGCTTTGTCTTACACTTTATAGATCTTCCCCATCCAACCTCAGGGCAGGTACAGGAGGCTATCTGCCAGGAGGTAATGTTTTACTGCTGATATAATTCTGAATTCCCTCCATTAACAGGAAGAATAAATATGGAAATAGAGGAAGGCTGAAGATTTCCCTCCTGTTTCCCACTCAAGACATAGTTTGAAAATAGAGAAGCAGGGCATTGTGGTGTATGTCTGTAATCCTAGCCATGGGAGAGGCTGAGGCATGATGATCACAGGTTTGCGGCCAGCTTGGGTATCTTAGTTTGACCCTGTCTCAAAATTTAAAAAAGGACTTGGGATATAATTCAGTGTTAGAGGACTTGCCTAGCATGTGCAAGACTCTGGACCAATTCTCTGCCAGACACACACACACACCCACACACCCACACACACACACACACGCACATTTTTAAGTTATTTTTGTATATCAAGATGATAAAAATTTAAAAATGTTTGCTTTATAATGTGAAGCCAGAAAGTATGCATTTTGTATGTTGAGCAGAATTATAACTCTGCCTCTGTCTCTCTATCTCCATGTGTATATGTATATATATATATGTATATATATATGACAGATACTATTATTTAAGAATGAAAATAGTGCTACTATGAGGTTCAAATGTATTCCTTCCACAAATATTTGTTGAATGCCTACATTGTGCCAGCAGCTTGGATTACAACAGTAAGAAATATGTCTTGTACTAATGGAGATTAAGTCTAATTTTAACTTCGTTTTCAAAATTTGCAAGAATAAAATTAAAGCAACTTTTCATTTATAAATTCAACAATAAATTAGGTACAGGAATAAAGTGATTCTAATTGTATCTTTATTTTCACGCGCTTACTCCTCTTAACTGTATTTTAGACCATGCAATGAGGCAGTTTGTTTTGTTTTTACTTAGTGAAAAGCACAAGCTGTTTGTTTCTCTGTTCTCCTTTTTGTTCACCAATTCATTTATCGATTTATTAGCTGATTGCTTTATTCTATAAACAAATAATTATGAGTGCCCATGTATCAGTACTGTGCTGGGGCTCTGGATGCTGAGTAGGACAGAGGTCCTGTGAGCACCTTCTTACTCTCATGGGCTTGCCATATCCTAATGCTCCTTTTTTTTTTTTTTTTTTTTTTAATTCCATCATGCTATTGTAACTGACTATCATGGAACATTCAGGTTATTTTCCAAGTATTTTTGCAACTATATCTAATACTACAGTGAACATCATTGCAAATATAACACCTTAACTGTTTTCTGAAATTCTTTGAGAAGTGAAATTATAAACCAAGTTAAATACATATTTTATGGCTACCTGTTTTATATTATCAGAATGTTTTTCAAATTGTACTTCTTACAACATTTATAATATATGACGGTGAATGAGATTACACTCAAGTATTCAAAGCTGCTTTATTTTACATTTTGGTTGTTGAGAAAGGCATTTTCTCTAATGTAATTTTCTATTATTTGGGTCATTTCTATTTTCATAAAAAGGTTTCTCAAAAATTCAGATAAGCTTTTTAAATATAACAGTATTTTAAAATCATATTTGGGGTACATATTTTACCCTTCTATTGTGTTTTAGTTTTCTTTGTGCTTATTATATAGAAATTATGAATCAGAAAGTCTTTTTCCTTTGTGGTTGCTTTATAACTTTTTTTTTTCCTCATTAAACTTTGTTTTAATGGGTCTCAGAATTCTGTGACAGATTTTTGGTCAAGTTGTTTCCATTAAAAAGTGATATTAAAAACTAATAACTTAAAAGTGTCACACACAAAAAGAAAACAAATGGTCTACAAAACACATTCTCCTTTCCTCCTGAAGGTTTTATGATGCATTGTTATCATTAACCAGTCTTTTACTATTAAATTTAGATGGCCAATTGGGAGAAACAGTTCTGAGACCGGTCTTCCACCACTGATTAAGACCAGGGTGGCAGGTGTTAGGGGTGAGATTCATTTAGCCTTCTGACTTTTCTGGGCAGACTTGGTGACCTTGCCAGCTCCAGCAGCCTTCTTGTCCACTGCTTCGATGACGCCCACAGCAACTGTCTGTCTCACATCGCGAACAGTGAAACAACCCAGAGGTGGATAGTCAGAGAAGCTCTCGATACACGTGGGCTTGCCTGGAACCATGTCAACAATGGCAGCATCACCAGATTTCAAGAATTTGGGGCCATCTTCCAGCTTCTTACCAGACCGGTGATCAATCTTTTCTTTCAGCTCAGCAAACTTGCAAGCAATGTGAGCTGTATGGCAATCCAGTACAGGAACATAGCCAGCATTGATCTGGCCTGGATGGTTCAGGATAATGACCTGAGGAGTGAAACCAGCTGCTTCCATTGGTGGGTCATTTTTGCTGTCACCAGCAACATTGCTACGATGAACATCTTTGACAGACACGTTCTTGACGTTGAAGCCCACATTGTCACCAGGAAAAGCTTCATTCAGAGCCTCTTGGTGCATTTCAACAGACTTTACTTCAGTTGTGACATTGACTGGTGTGAAGGTGACCACCATGCCAGGTTTGAGAACACTAGTCTCCACTCTGCCCACAGGGACTGTACCGATACCACCAATTTTGTAGACATCCTGGAGGGGCAGCCGCAAAGGCTTGTCAGTTGGGTGAGTGGGTGGCAGGATGTAATCCAAAGCTTCAAGCAGTCTGGTTCCACTGGCATTGCCATCTTTACGAGTGACCTTCCATCCCTTGAGCCAAGGCATGTTAGCACTTGGCTCCAACATGTTGTCACCATTCTAACCAGAAATTGGCACAAAAGCTACTGTGTCAGGGTTGTAGCCAATTTTCTTAAAGTAGGTGCTGACTTAACAATTTCCTCGTATCTCTTCTGGCTGTAGGGGGGCTCAGTGGAGTCCATTTTGTTAACACCAACAATGAGTTGTTTCGCACCCAGTGTGTAAGCCAGAAGGGCATGCTCATGGATCTACCCGTTCTTGGAGATACCAGCTTCGAATTCACCAACACCAGCAGCAACAATCAGCCTGAGATGTGCCTGTAATCATGTTTTTGATAAAGTCTCTTGTGTCCTGGAGCATCAATGATAGTCACGTAATACTTGCTGGTCTCAAAATTTCCACAGGGAGATGTCAATGGTGATATCACGCTCGCGCTCGGCTTTCAGTTTATCCAAGACCCAGGCATACTTGAAAGAACCCTTCCCCATCTCAGCAGCCTCCTTCTCAAATTTTTCAGTGGTTCTTTTGTCGATGCCACCACCTTTGTAGATCAGATGGCTGGTAGTGGTGGACTTGCCCGAATCTACGTGTCCTATGACAATGATATTGATATGAGTCTTTTTCTTTCCCATGTTGGCTTTGATTTAGTGGTGGTTTTCACTACACCTGTGCTCTCACGGCAGACCCGTTGCGAAAAAAAGCTGCTTTATAACTCTTAATCTATGAAATATTTTATTTTTTTGGTACCGGGGATCGAACTTGGGTCCTTGTGCTTGCAAGGCAGGTGGGAGAACCACTGAGCTAAATCCCTGGTCCTATGAAATATTTTACTGTTTGCTAATTTAATTTTTCAAAATTCTTCACTGATCAGATATCTAAAAGATAATCCCTAAACAAAAATTTATAAATGTCATTTAGTGAATTATAAAGATCTATTTCAAAGAGAGCCAGCAATTATGTTCAGCATTGCTTATTTCTTTTTTTTTCTTGGTACTGGAGATCAAACTCAGATCCTTGGACTTGTGGGGCAGGCAGCAGAACTACTAAGCTAAATCCTCGGCCCCTGCATTGCTTATTTCTAATGTACTGAGTTTTTCCTATTAAAAATATAAAAAAACTGGGGCCAGGGATTTAGCTCAGTGGCACTGTGGCTGCCTTGCAAGCAGAAGGTCCTGAGTTTAATCACTGGTACCAAAAAAATAAATAAAAAAAAATTTTTTTAAAACTAGCAGATTTTATGGTATTGTATATACACAGAATTTATGTTAAGATACACTAATGAATTTTATAAAGTTTAAAATTTTTACTCTTAAATCTATATTTGAACTTATTCAAACATTTTAATTTAATGCTTGTGATGAACTCTGTATCTTTAAGAGAAAATACTCTTTAATTGAGTGTGATGGCACACCTCTGTAATCCCAGCACTCCAGGAAGTTGAGGCAAGAGAACTGCAAGTTCAAGTCCAGCCTTGGCAATTTAGTGACTTAGTGAAACCCTATCTCAAAATTAAAAATTGAAAACTGGGTGGGAATGTAGTTCAATGTAAAGGCCTTCAGTTCAATCCCTGGTACCATAAGAAAGAAAGAAAAAGAAAAGAAAGGAGGGAAAGGAAGGGAGGGAAAGGAAAGGAAAGAATCTTGCTATTTTCAGATTTACATTTAGCATTTGTTGATCACATTTTATTTTCTCATGAATAACTAATTTTTACATATAATCAGTCTCTCTCTCTCCCACTTCCTCCCCCCACAGCCCTGGAAGAAAGCGGGACTTTTCCCCTGTTCCTTGGAGTCAGTATTTCGAGTCTATGGAAGATGTGGAAGTAGAGAATGAGACTGGCAAGGATATATCCTTTGCAAACTGGTTTATTTGTAAGTTTATGATATTAAGAAGATCATGTGGTACAGTATCTAAAATGTTTGTTTCTGCTGTATTTTTCACTTTATTCCCTACCCATTCTTTGCACAACATGGTATATCATTTGTTAAGTTTTTGCCAGAATCTTTCTTGGCTATAATTCTCTAATTTATGGGGACAGGATTAAGAATTAAATTCCTGAGACGAATTAATCTCTTGGGGCCCAAGTGAAAGTTTCATGAGTTAAGTGATGTAAAATGGTTTCCTTTCCAGAAACCAGGGACTACATCCTCATTAGGGCAGAATGAATACTATTCTTTTCTTCATTGAAATACATGGTCATTCTACCTCCAGACTTCAGAAATGGAGTTGATATCTCAAAAACATCTATTTAAATATTTTTAAAGTTTGACAGTTAGCAGTTGAGTGTGTAGTTTGATGCTACTCAGATTTTTTAGTCAGTATCATTATGACTAATCAAAAATTTGAATGAGAAAAGAAACTTAAATATGTTGTCTTTAACAATTCATACACTTTTCGAGTTTACAAGAGTGGTTCAGAGGGTCCAGTCCTGCTTCTTCTGCATGGAGGAGGCCATTCTGCCCTTTCCTGGGCTGTGTTCACGGTAAGTTATGACAGTAGAAGTTGATTTTCGTGTAATCATTGTTTATTTCTGGTAAATTTGACTAGCCTAACTCTTCTTTATATGCTCATTCAGTTTGCTTGATTTTAGAGGGTTAGAGATGGAGTGGATTCCAAATACTTATACTAGGCCTAAGATCATTTGTTCCCTTTTTTTCTTTATTCATTAATTTTATTGGTACATTTTATGTATACAATATGCTGAAATTCATTATTGGGAATTTGTACCTTTACATAACCTATCTTGGTTCTTATTTTTTCCCCATTCCCCTGCCCTCCCTTCAACCCCTCCACCCCTCCCTATTTACAAAGACTTTGTTTCCATTAAGATCACTTGTTCTTTAAACAAGAGGTTATTAACTAGGATGGGCCTTAGTGCTCTCAGTTTATAAAATTGTATATATATGTGCATTGAGATGAGGGGCATGGAATTTGTGCCTTCTCAAAGGCAATGGTCTGTATCTCAGTAATTTTAAGTAAATAGATTAAATAGACCTTAAATTCAGATGCTTTAGATAATGTTTTTCACTTTATCTCTTTCATAGAGTCTCTATGGTGCTTTGCACGTGGAAATGTATCATAAATATTTGGAAAATATTTGTTTTTGAAGCAATGCTTTGTATTTTTATGGTATCTGAGCTACTGGAGAGTAAACAATATTTGTTGGTATACTCTGATTAGAGTGGAAGATAAGTGTTTGTATGAATGCTGCCAGTTGTAGATCATCCTGATATATCCTTGACTCTGGAGTGAGGCAGCTCTTGTGCAAGGAGAGGTAGTTCTAAGGAAGATACTAGCAACACCCTTGTTTAAAATGAAGTTGTCATCACTTTATACATGTATCAAGCAGTTATATATACTTACTCTTTAGCACTGTGGGGGCTAAAGGACAGAAAATGGGAACGAGCAGATGGCTGTGGAATTGAGAAAGGCTTGAAACATATCACTGTTCCTGGTAGCAGGGATTATTGAGATTAAGTATTAAATCACCTCCTTATGTCTTCTGTAGACTAAAAATTCCTTGAAAATAGGGATATCTTGGTTGGCAACCCATTCGGGACTCCATCTGTCTCTCAGGAGCTATTCTTATTCCCCATTTCTGTTTGCCATTCCTATTCCCCAATAAATTTTCCTACTCTTAAAAAAAAGAAAAGAAAAGAAAATGGAGATCATATTCCTTTTTGTTTCCCAAATGTTTTGAAATAGTTCTTGACACACAGGCACTTATTCAACAGTTAATGAGTGATTTGACTCTTGTTCTCTATTTCCTTCTGTTACTATAAGATAAGCTATATAATTTGCCAGTAAATACCAGGCTCTTTCATGTCTCCATGTTCACCAATAGAAATATATTGCAAGCCACATGTATAATGTAAAATTTTCTAGTAGATACATTAGATAGGTAAAAAGAAAGAAGTGAAATTAATTTTAATAGTAAATTTTATTTAACCCATTGCATCTAAAATATTTCAACAGATAACCAAAATAAAAATTATTGACATGTTTAATAGTCCATTTTTTGTTGGCAGTAACACAATACAACAGACTGGGTGAGTTATAAAAGAGATTTATGTTTGGCTGAGAGTTCTAGAGATGCAAGGTAGTGGGGCCACATTTGTTGATGGCTTTCTTACTACAGATTTCTGAGGTAGCACAAGGCATCACATCTCATAAGACAGGGAGTGTGTGTGAGAGTGTGTGTGCACACACGTGTGGCCCTCCATTGAAAGCCACAGAATTTAATCATGAGGGGGTCTATCCTAACAGTTGTATCTAATCCTAATCATGTTCAAAAGAACCCATCTTTTCTAAATACTATAGTAGGATTGAGTTTTCACCCTCTGAATACCTTACAATGGAGATTGAATTTCAACACATGAAGCCTTGGGGGTCTGTGATGGAAGGCTGAAGGGTCTGCACTGGAAGGCTGGAGAGTTTGTGCTGCAAGGGTAAAGAGTCTACACTGGAAGTTAGGAGACAGACACGCAAGGCAAAGGCAATGACTGGAGCTCCTCTGAAGAAACAAGAATCGAGCCTACCTTCTTCTTTCTCCTTTTTATTTCCATTCAAGCTACAAGCCTGTTGGTTGGTGCCACTCATACCCATGGTGGATCTTCCATCTTCAGTAAATCCATTTAGTCATACCATGAGCTAAGCCAGGCCAATCAGTTGAGCGTTTCTTCTTCAACTTGACACAACAGTTAACTATTACATAGTATGTGGTCTGTTTTGGAGAAAATTTCATATGCTGCTGAGAAGTATGTGTATTCTGTAGTTGTTGGGTAGGACATTCTGTAGATATCTAATAAGTCCATTTGCCTAATGATTTGGTTCAACTCTGATATTTCTTAGGAGGGTGTTGTTTTATTTCCATGTGTTTATGAAGTTCTTGTGGTTTCTTTGCCATACATTTCCAATTTCACTGCACTGTGGTCTGATAATATGGATGGGATAATTTCAATTCTTTTGCATTTACTTAAGCATGTTCTATGAGCTAGTATGTGGTCTATTTTGGAGAATGTCCCATGTGTTACTGAGAACAATGTGTATTCTATTGCTATGGGGTGGAAGACATCTACTGTAGACATCTACTGAGTCCATTTGTTCAAAAGTTTGGTTCAATTCTGCTAATTCATTGTTGATTTTTTTGTCTAGTTGGTTCATGTACAAAGCACATCTTTTAAGCTCTATTGTATGTCATTTTTTGTTGTTGTTTTTTTTTTGGTACCAGGGATCGATCTCAGGGTCTTGCACTTGCAAGGCAGGTGGTGGAACCACTGAGCTAAATCCCTGGCCCTTACACAACACATCTTAATTCTTTTTTTTTCATCCTCTTTGTTTCTTGATCCATTCTGCCAGTCTATCTTTTGATTAGAAAATTAAGACCATTCACATTGAGAGTTATTACTGAAAGGTATTGACTTACTCCTGACATTGCATTATTTTCCTGTTGCTGATTTCTTTCTACTTGACTGCTTATCCTAGCTAGTATATTCATTCTATTAGACCTTTTGTCATTGTTAGCTTTGTTGTCTCTTTCTAGGATATCCTGGAGAATATTTTTGGAGTGCTGGTTTGGTGGCCATGAACTTCTTTAGGTCTTCTTTATCATGAAAATATCTTATTTCTCCATCAATTCTGAAAGATAGTTCTGCAGGATGTATCATCCAGAGTCCATAGGGTGTGTAGCTCTGTTTGGTCCATTGCAGGGGGAGTCTGTCCTTCAGTTCTAAGTATTTAATACAGAGTGTTAATTTTTCTCAAGGATGAAGAAAATTAAGGGCCGGGGATTTAGCTCAGTGGTTCCACCGCCTGCCTCACAAGTGCAAGACCCTGAGTTCGATCCCTGGTACAAAAACAAAACATTACATAAAAAGAATGAAGAAGCTGGGGATTTAGCTCAGTGGTTCGGGTGCCTGCCACACAAGCACAGGGTCCCAAGTTTGATCCCCAGTGCCAAAAATAAATAAAAAAACCAAAAAAGAAGAAGAAAATTAAATTCTCTACTATGTAAAAAAACCAAACTACTTCAGATGGTACTGTTTTAAACTATCCAACTTACTTTTGAAGGTAGTTATTAGTCTAATAGCAAATGCAGGAAATGACAGTGCCAGGAAAATTAAGCCAATCTCATTTATAAAAGAGATATCATATAAAACTGCAGCACATTAAATTTAGTAGTGTAGTAAAATAATAATACATCTGTGATCAAGTAGATTTTATTCCAGGAATTTAAGAATGGCTGAGCATTTAATGATCAGTGTAATTCTTCTCTCACTTTACTTGATGCCTGTAAAACACTTGGTCACCTACAGCACCTACCTATGTTGTAAACTCCTTGCAACTAGGAATAGATGAAAAATTTCCTGAATTTTATAACGTTTATATAAGAAAGTGCATAAATAAATGTATTTAGTGGTAAAATATTAGACATGGTCCTTTTTTCATTATTGAGGACTGACAGACAAAGGTGTTATTTTCAATACTGTACTGGAAGTTCTAGCCAAATAACAAGGAAAGAAAAGAGTTTTAGAGATCTGAAAAACAAAAGAAAGAACTTGAACTGTTGTTATAGATGTTGTCTTCCTAGCAAGTAAAAGGAAATCATCTGATAATAAGCAATAGTTTATAAATTTAACTTTTTTGTTTGTTTGTTTGGTTTTTTTTTTTTTGGTACTGGGGATCGAACTCGGGTCCTTGCATTTGCATAGCAGGTGGCGAAACCACTGAGCTAAATTCCCAGCCCAATATAAAGTTAACTTTTAAATAAAATTGTTTTTTTAAATATTAGCACTTGATAAATTTGTAAATATAGGAAAATAATTAAAACAACAAAAATACACAATGCCTGGGGGAAAAATCCTTATGCTTTAAGCATAAGACATTTATGAAGAAAACAAAACTTCATAGTATTTAGAGGAAAATCTAAAAAAAGAAATCATATTTCTGTACTGATGTAATTTAGTTATGATCCCAGTGGGATTTTTCATTAGACTTAATCAACAAACTGAATTCATACAGAAGAGTAAATGCCTAGTGATAACCAAGATAATTTTGAAAAAGAGCAAGTGACAGGTATCTTGCCTTCTCAGATACCAAAATATATTATAAAACTCTTTATCACTTAATATGGTATTGGGAGAAAAAAATACACCCACATATAAAAACGAATGTGATATATGAATAAAAATAGAGCAGTCCAGGTCCAGGGATGTAGTGCAGTGGTGCTGCAGCTGCCTTGCAGGCGCAAGGTCCTGAGTTCAGTCCTCAGTACCAGGAAAAAAAAGAAAAAGAAAAAGAAAAAAAGCAGTCCAAGTGGATTAAATGGCTAAATTTTAAAAGTAAACTAGAAGACTATTCATTTTGGAGCAAGCTTTCTTAAACATGGCCAGAAGTAAAAGCCATAAGGGAAAGATTGATTAACCTGACTTTGCCAAAACCAAACCTTCTGTTAAACCACTAACTGGGTGCTAGGTAAAAAATATTTTAAATATATGCAGTAGATAATAAGCAAAGGGTTAATATTTTCATCATTTTTAGGAAGGTGGAAAAACTGCAAAACAGAAAAAAGACAATTCAGTACTAAAAAGGGCAAGAGATATGAAGTATTATTTTATAGAAGAGGAAATATAAAATAATACCACATTTCACTTATGACATTGGCAAAAATTGTTAAGTTTGAGGATGTTATATGTTTGTGAGAATACTTATTGGTCCATATCACTAATATCTGATATACCCTTCAGAACTTGTTTGGTCGGCTACAAAAATTGTGGTAATATTTTCTCAGCCTACTTCTCAGGGAGGTAATTTGAGATTATCTGAGGTAATTAGGTGAGAAGGTATCACGATATCTAGAAGCATGTTATTACCACCCAGATCTTTTTTCCAGTTTTGTCTCTTACTCTCTGTACATTAGAATTACCTGTAGAATTCTAAAATACATAGATAGCCTTGACCTTTTCCTTCAGTTCACTTAAATGAGAATTTCTTGGTATCTCTTATAGCTCCTTAGGATTTTTTGTTTTTTGTTTTTGTTTTTTCTTGTCTTTCTCTGTCATACTAGAATTTAAACATGAGAGCAAGGGCAATGCCAATTTTTGTTGTTGTTGTTTTTACTACTATTACCCCATTACTCAGTGCTGGATTTTTAGGTGTAACTTAGAAAGACTTATTAAGTGAATGAACATCTATTTAAATATCTTGTTGGTGTTTTCTGAAAGTCCCATATGATTGCAAATCATTACCTTCAAGCTAAAATTTGGAACTGACAATTACTTCAAATGCATATTTTATAATGTAAACCTAGTTCTGACTCTAAAAATGTGTCTTGTAAACCTACTTTTTTTTTTTGGCAGTCAAGCAAATTTGACACTATCTTTACCCTTTAACTTTATATTATATTAATATATAGACTTCTTTTTGTCATTCAAGGTTTTACTATCCACCATAATGCATTAAATAATACCTGAAAATTAACAAATAGCTTTCAGGAACAAACAGCTTAGTAGATTTCAGTCCATTGTTGCTTTTAAATGTATTCATTAGTTGGAGTAATAGAAGTAGAAACACACTTGACTTTCTACATGATTTAAAATATAATTTAAGAATCTGACTTATGTTTGTGTGTTGTCCTGAGCCAAGATACAATGGGCTCACAGTCTTTATCTATAGGATTCTTTCTTTAAAGTAGGGGAAAGATGTCCAAGAAATATGGATGAAAACCATAGGTAATAGCAGAGTTCAGAAGATCATTACCTAAAGGTACTAAAAACACTGTGTTTCAGGAAAGGCTAGGCAGATTTAAGGCTTAAAGCAAGATTTAGGTAGAAAAAGCCATATTTTAAAGTTGGGACAGAACTACAGTATGTACCAAAAAAGAATCATTATTTTATTTTCTTAAAAATGGAAAGTTTTCTTGGGTTCCCTGAGTTCTGGTGGCAGATCATTTAACAAAGTTAGCATTGGTGACGGCAAAATTTGCTGCCCCATATGTACTTTACTACTTTTTCTTTTCCTCCTAGGCAGCGATCATTAGTAGAGTTCAGTGTAGGATTGTGGCTGTGGATCTTCGAGGTCATGGTGAGTGAAGTTCTTAATTAGCCTTTGACTCAGTGACATAGTCACCAAGCCCCTTTGAATAAACTTAAATATAAATTTTAGAGTGTCCATTTGGACAATTTGGGGAGAAGTCCTCCCTTCCAACTGGGCTACTGTAATTATCCTGCTTAGAGTGGCCAATGATAAGATCTGTCTGTAATGTGGAAAATCCTTGATAAATCAATCATGTAAAACTACAGAGTGCCCATTTCATTATCCACAGGTGAGATTTTTAAAGAGTATTCCTGCTCTTTAATTCCTATCTTTTGAGATTTTATTTTTGAAATATTTTCTTTTTAGGTGAAACAAAAGTCAAGAATTTTGAAGATCTGTCTGCAGAAACAATGGCAAAGTAAGTAGATAATTGCTTATGCATTGTTTGCCTTTTATCACTATCATAATATCATTATGATATAACTATCATTCAGCTGATGTGATTGTTGGATGATAATTAACACTGAGAAAATTTTACTCCAGTTTTCTCTTTTCTACTTTTAGTTTATTCTTATAATTTAATCTTGAATGAAACCTGCATCTTTCTTTTTTTTTTGGTACTGGGTTTCGAACTCAGGACCTTGCGCTTGCGAGTCAGGTGGCGGAACCACTGAGCTAAATCCCCGGCCCAAACCTGTATCTTTCTTAATATGTCATCACATAAAACATTCGGAAATTGTTCAAGTTTAGTTTGTATAGGCTTTTGAAAAGTTTTCTTCTGTTGATAGAGTTGGATAGAATCTAGATATCTATCATGGATCCATCCCTTGAAAATAGTTGAATGCAAGAGGTCATAAGAGTGTGTTAAGTATCTGTCTACTTTCTTTGTCCAGTGTTACAGAAAGATGAAGACAGGATGTTTAAGAATAACTAATTATACCCTGGGCCTAAAGTAAAAGATGAATATAGCATATACTGTACAGTAGCTCCCAAACTTGCTTACTCATCAGAATCACCTGAGAAGTTACTTAAAATGATTTGGCTCTAACCCAGATCCGCTGAATTAGTGCTTTTTAGCAGTGGGCTCTAGGCATTTATATTTTGATGAAGCTCTGTAGAGCAGTGTGATTCAAACAGTCCCATGACTAATATTTGAGAACCATTAATTTATGTGTGTGACGGGGTGGTCAGGGTGGTGGTAGTCATGCTGCTGGTAAAGATTGAACCCAGGGCTGTATGTATCCCCAGTTTTTTTTTTAAAACAGGGTCTTGCAGGCTAAAATTTGCACTCCTCCTACCTCAGCTTCCCAGAGTGCTGGGATTATAAGCCTGTGCCACCTCGCCTGGCTCATGAGAACTGTTCACTTTAATAAGAATAAAATCCAAGTGATCAATCAGACTACTTTTAACCTGGGTAAATACACCTGTCCTAAGCATAGATGTGATAATGAATTGTGTTTCAGACCTTGTCTACCTTCCTGCATAAAGCTGATATAGACTCCTCCAACTCAGTTTCTTAGAATTGAGAATTATTATGGAAATTACATAGTCAGATTGGTTTTAAGCTTTGGTCTTTTTTTTTGTCCCTCAAATCACACTTAGCATGATTTTAGATTAATTGACCCCTTCCCCCATCTATTATTTGCATACTGGTATGTTGAATTAACCTTGGAACACCAATTTTTGTTTTTGAGAAATTAATCTTTGTCTGGTTCACTTACTCCAAAGATCACTTGTTATTTGATCTTTGTTCCTAATGTTTTCCATTAGTCTGAGGAAAGGCATCCTGGATTTGACTTCGTGTTACTACTTTGAATCCATAGTCCCCTATGCCAAGGGGAAACAGCTTTAAGTATAAAATAAAATAGCAGAAATCAATAAAATAGCAGAAATCCGCAACTATTTTTACCTTGGTAGTAATGCAGATAGACCCAATGAAATTGACTCGGCCAATCCTAAAGTTGATTAGTATATCTCAGTTTTGTTATCTGTAATGTAATAAAAATCCTTTCAGACAAGACTGTTGAAGAATTACATTAAATGATGATATAAGAAAGCTCATAGCACATAGTAGGCAGTTGTTCTAGTCTACTTTCTGTAGCACCACAGACTGGGTAATTCGTACACAACAGAAGTTTATTTAGCTCACAGTTCTAAAGATTGGGAAGTCTAAGAGCATAGTGCTGGCATCTGGCCAGAGCTGCCTTCTTGCCTCATAACATGGTGAGGGCCTCAATGGTGAGATAGAGCAAATGAGCCACAGAGAGCATTCCTTTTAACAAAGCTACTCCCATAATAATCCATCAATTGATGAATGGATTCGTCCCAATCATTTCCAAAAGTCCTACCTCCAAATACCAATAATGTATGAATTTGAGGGAGATGTTCAAATCATAGCAGCACTGAATAAATACTGTTGGTTCTCTTTTCTCCCCTTCATATCATTTGTTTCAGAGAAAATTTGGAGTTTAGTATAGAAGCAGCAATAGTGTCAAAGAAGCTTGGGCTTTTTATCTTAACTATATTATCTCTTTAGATGATTGCCTGAACTGCTTTACTTTCCATCTTAGCCTTAAATTTAACTCCAAAGGAATGTTTAACTATTATTTGTTTTTACTTATAAAATTTGGTGGTTTCCCTATTTCCCATTCACATTGTCTGCTGCTGCAGCAGCTACACTGTTCACCACTGTAATTGTATGAAATTTTAACAATTCCTGCAAAGTAATTAATAAAATTTGCCTTAATCATTGTGAATACAGTGGAAACCATCTTTGAAAGTGTGTGTCCCTGTGGTGACTTGGAACATTTAGTTAACAATGTAGGAGTACTTGAATATGCAGTGACACTCAGCAAAACAAAACTGTCTTTTAAAGTTGACTGATTTAGCAACTCCCAAAAGAAACCAATAGAGCTAATGGTCTCTAGAAACACATCTTTATTGTTCTTATTCCACCTGTTGTTCCAGCAAGTTCCAAATAAAATTCAAAGTTCTTCATTTCTTATTTTCAAAGCTTTAAAATTCAAAGCTTTGCTAAACAGTTCCACTCTAATTGAAGATTAAAACAAAAAACAATAAAAATTAGCTGTGAACACCTTTCTAGTTTCACAGAGCACTATATATAGATTTATAAATGGTCATTCTTCAGACAACTACATGTAAGAACTTGTAAGTAATTAATGCTTGTATGGCACTTCGCTCTTTCAGAGTACTTTTACATTCACTTCTCAGTCAATCCCAAGCAATCTAGAACAGTAAGTGACATTTTTACCTTCATTTTGTAGATGTTAAGTGTCTGTGAGAGATACTTTCAGTGTCTGAGAGACTAATCCAAGATTGTGTAGTTAAAAAATAGACTCCGAACTTCACTGCATTATTCGTGGGAAGACTGAAGTATAGAGTAGTTAAATGATTTTTCCAGAGCTTCAAGATTAGAATAAAAATAAAGATATATGTTTATATATTAAATGTGTGGAGCTGGCTGTGGTGATGTGCACCTGTAGTCCCAGTACTTGGGAGGCTGAGGCAGGAGAATTGCTTCAAATTTGAGGCCAGCCTGGGCTACATAGTGAGTTCAAGACCAACCTGAACTGTACAGCAAAACCTTGTCTCAAAAAACAAAATGAATGAATGAATGCAGTGTGAATGGTGAAAGTATTAGGTAAAGGAAAATGAGAAAATTTGAGTTCTTTGTCCTTAAGCTGACGTTTGTCAGGTTAGGTAGGTGTGTGACTATCTGCATAGATACCAAGGATTGTGTTAGGAGGTTTATTTACTTAGATATGTTTTTAAGATAGCTCTTTAGACCTTTACCATCTCCTAGAACTGATACAGACCAAAAGAAGGATCTGGAAAAGAAAACTATTTTTAAGTGTTCTCAAAGAGTCTATTACCAGCTTTTTTACCCTTCTCTTTGCAGAGATATTGGCAATGTGGTTGAAGCCATGTATGGAGATCTCCCTCCTCCAATTATGCTGATTGGACATAGCATGGGTGGTGCTATTGCAGTGCATGCGGCAGCATCTAACCTGGTGCCAAACCTCCTGGGTCTGTGCATGATTGACGTTGTGGAAGGTAAGTTTCCTTTCTGCCAACCAAATCAGAATCATTGACTTGTGGGAGACATCCACAGTAGATTATTGTCTTGTTTTGATTTTTTTTTTGTCAGTTTCATTTATCTTGACGTATATACCTCTAGCTTTGTATCTTTTGAAAATTACACCATTCTCCATGTTATCAGAAATCTTTCACTAATATCTTTTTACGGGTGCATAATATTTTAATCATATATATGTTTCATAGTTTCATTTAACCATTTAAAAAGAAGCTGTTAAATATTTTACAGTCCAGCCTGAGAAGCCACACTCCTGATTATATAAGTCCTATTCATTATGGGTGCACTACACAAAGGAATGAATACTGGGAGGCAAAAATTACTGAGGGCCATAGAAGCTATCATGTTAGTCTTTTGAATTTCCTTAAGTGGCATCTGTTTGTGCTTAGTAGAATGGGCACACAGATGAAGTAAGACTGGCCATAAGTTAATGACTACTGAGAATAGGCAACAGGTACAATTGAGGTTCTCTGTATTAGTCTAACATGTTGGTAACTTTTCTGTAATACAAGATTTTAAAAGGAAAAAATATCCTCTACAATCATTGAATTCTGTTGTCATTGGAGGCAGACGTATAAATTGGAGGCAGAATAAGTAAGTATTGTTAAAATTTTTGTTAACATCCAGGTACAGCAATGGATGCACTTAATAGCATGCAGAACTTCTTACGTGGTCGTCCTAAAACCTTCAAGTCTTTGGAGAATGCTATTGAATGGAGGTAACACATAAATCTATGTTGTCTTAATTTCAAATGTTCATTATAACTTTTTTCGTCAGTTCAAGCACTGAGACTAAAGGAATAGAAGTTCAGTTTCTAAGATTTATTGTAATATATGTGAGAAAATATTTAAAGATCAGAGAGTTTTCAGTATTTTAAACATTTCAGATTTGGCTCAGTTGTCTAAAACCCTCTCCACAAAGAGATAAATCTTGAGATAAAATATCTTCACCATTCTAACTTCCTACCTATTCTTCAAAGTCTTGTCTCCAGTCTCTTCTCCAGAATACTTTCTCTAACTCCATCAAATTATCAAATAACTCACTCAGCAAAAATACTAGAGACCTTTAAGTTTATATTATATTGCACTGTTTACCCCTAAAATCTTCCACTTCCCCCTTGAGGGATATGTTCAGTGTCAATTTTCACAAATAACTGTTTTAATGCTACTTCATCATCAGGCCAAAGGCTGTTCTCTGTTTCTTTTATACTTTCATACTGTATATAGCATACTGCTGACTGCCCTAGTAAGAAGACCATGTCTGTTAACTGAATCAGAGATATCAAGTGGAAACTAAGAAGTTTAGCCCTGATAGATATATCTGAGGGATTTTTTTCTGGGACAGAGGATCTCATACTAGAATATGGCTTGCCAGAATGATGTTTGTGTTTGCTGAGGTTGCTTCTGCCACCTTTGTTCACTACCATGATACAAGATTCCTGTTCTCTCAGAAGCACCAAAGAGCTCTCTATCTTTGGCAGCCACAGACAGCATTGAGAATGTAGTTGATGCCAGCTCAGCATATACCCCAGGTGCCCTATCTTCTTCCCAAGTAATAACAAGTGAGAAAATTATTCTGGACTTATTTAGTTATCTAAAATTCAGTCTTTTTCCAAACTTTAAAAATTTTTTCAGTAAACTTCTTTTCTAGTACCTAAATTGTGTACCTGATTAAATAATTGGAAATGAACCAGGTTCAGTTTCTGTCGTTAAAAATAAAAAAATTAGAGATACAGACAAATATGTAAATACAACACAATGAAAGAAGCAGAGAGGGTATAGAAGAAGGGCAACCACTTTAGTCTTGGAGATCAAGGTAGGTCTTGTCTGAATTCTAGTGCCAGCTGTAGGTTTGTTGAATATTAAAATCTTGGTTCTGTGAGTCACTGGTTTTTAGAATCTGCATTCTGAGCTTGAGAATCAGAGATATTTGATGATTTTGTTTTGTAATTCACTGAATATTCTGAATGAGATTTATGACTCGTGGCCATTTTGGCTATTCCAGATTAATAGAAAGAAAATTGTTAAAAGGTCAATAAATTACTATTTTTGCTCTCTTGGTCTTCCTAATGAGAGTAGTAAGTTGAGGTGATTAAGAAGTGGTACTTTGGGGCTGGGGATTTAGCTCAGTGGTTTCGCCACTTTCTGCGCAAGCGCAAGGACCTGAGTTTGATACCTGGTACCAAAAAAAAAAAAGAAGTGGGACTTTGAAGTCAGACATATAGGAATTTGGATCTTGGATCCACTAAAATAAAATAGGGAAAGAAGTGAGGATTGATGTGATAAAGGAAGTGAGAAATTGGTTAGGAGACTATTGTAGTGATTGTAAACATAGACTAGGATGGCAACAGAAAAAATAATACAGTTAGATAATGTCTTCTGAGGATAGAACTGACAACTGGTTTATGGATTGGATGTTGAGAGAGAGGAGGGCAGAGAGGGAACTCAATGATGACTTCTAGAGTAGAGATAGAAGTCAATTTGGTAGCAAACAGGGGCAGGGAAATCAGGAATTTTGTTTGAGAAAGGCTAAAATGCTTATTACAAATCCACATGGAAATATTAAGTAGGCAGTTATATATACTAGTTAGAAGAGGTTGAGCTAGAGATAAATTGGAGAATTGCCATCATACAGAAAACATTTAAAGCTGAAGGATCGAATGCAATCAGCTAGGGTGTTGATGTTGATAGAAAAAAAAAGATCTAAGAGTTGAGCCTTGGGGTATTCCACAATATTTAGAGCTTGGGAAGAAGAGGAAGATCCAACAAAGAAAAGTGAAAAGTCACAGTTGATGAGGTAGAAGAAAAATCAGGAGATTGTAGCAAGTATTTATAGAAAGGAGAGACCATCTGTGTCAAATGCAGCTAAGGGATCAAGTTGAAGGACCAAGGAATGACCATTGGATTTGGCATGATAGAAGTAACCTTGACAAAAGAAATCTCAGGAAATAAATGGGAGACTAAAACCTTATGCTAAGTTGGAATAAAGGTTAGGGAAAGATGAGAGATAACAAAATGGGAAAAGCAGGATAGCTCTTTTGAGGAGTTTTGCTGCCTAGCGCAGGGGAATGAGTAGTACTGTAACTAGTAATGGATGTGGTGTTGGGAATGTAAGGACTAGATAATATATGTTTATGACATTTACTAGAGAAAAAAATAAGGGCACCAAAGAAAGAGTTGGTAACTGAAGGAAACACATATCCTCTCAGAAACAAGAGGGGTGGGAACTAGTATCCAAGGTTATATTTGACTAGGAACAGAAAATTTCATGTACAGTATTAACCAGCATCAAGGGGCTAAGGGTTTAGCGCAGTGGTAGAGTGCTTGCCTAGCAGTTTTGTTTTGTTTTGTTTTGTTTGAGACAGGGTCTCACTCTGTAATTCAGGCTGGCCTTGAACTCAGTATGTAGCCCAGGTTGGCCTTGAACTCTCCTCCTGCCTCAGCCTCCTGAGTGCTTGGTATACAGGCATGTGCCACCATACCTGGCTTTGCCTGACATTCATGAGGCTTTGGTTTGATCCCCAGCACCACAGAAGACAACAATAACAACAAAACAACAAACTGTGTATCAAGGCAGAGTGTATGATTAGAAATTAAGGTATGGTAAATGTGTAGGGTCCATTGATGGTTGAAAGATGAGGAAGTTGTTCAGATTGCTTTTGTTTATTACTGAAGTAAGAAACAATGTTATTGTCTGGGGAGGAGTTAAAATTTTGCATGAGGTGCACATGCATGTGTGTGTATGTGCATGTATGTGTGTGTGTAGTGCTGGGGATATAATCCAGGACTTTGCCCATGTTAGGCAAGCACTCTGCCACTGAACTACACACCCAGCGCCTAAAATTTGCATATTTTAAAACTAAGAAGTTTAAAGAAATAGATTCTCTTTGTAGCCTGCTTTAGGGAGGGTTCCCAGTTTTCTTGGGGTTGCAGTCATTTTGCTTTACCCTTAGATGTATTTAGGTAGATAAATAGTAGAAGACTCAACTGTTTACCTAGCTCTGTAGCTTAGATTCTGTAGCTCTATAGCTCTATAGCTTGTCATGTGTCTTTATCCAGCTTATGCTGCTATAGCAGAATACCACAAACTGATTTCTCAATAGAATTTTTTGTTTTGTTTTGTTTTTGTTTTTTGGGGGTACTGGGGATCGAACTCGGGTCCTTGCACTTGTGAGGCAGGTGGGTACCACTGAGCTAAATCCCTGGCCCTCTAAAATAGAATTTTATTTGGCTCATGAGGGAGGCTGGGAAGTCCAGGGTCATGGGGCTTGGGTCTAGTGAGAGCCTTATTGCTGTGTCATTACATGGTAGAGAACATTACACAGTGAGAAAGAACAAGAGGGGGCTAAATTTATCTTTATAACAAACCCACTCTCCCCAACCCCCACCAGAGCTAGGGGTTGAACCCAGAGCCTTCCAAATCTACTCTTGTGATTAAGATGTTAATTCAGGGCAAAGCTCAGCCCTCATGACCTCTTCAAGGGCCCATGTCTCAGCACTGTTGCAAGGGAATTAACATAGAAACTTTGAGGAACACATTTAGACCGTATGGAGCTAGCCCCTGCCTACAGTCCTAATCTGTCACACTCTCCGTTTACCCTCTCTTGCCCTCAGTTCTCTAAGATCATCGTCCTGCTGACTTTTATATCACAATACCTTTGCTCATAGTGCTTCAATCTATAGTGCTCTGATCACACTCTTTCTGACCACACTTATTTTCTGTTTAATTTCTTATTTTCAGTTCTTAGTTTAGGCAGGATTTGGGGGAAACTTTCCTCAACATCCTCATTCAGAATAAAGTGCTTCTTTTGAATCTTGCCTTATTATATAACACTGTCTGTTCATGTCTTTTTTTGTCCCTACTGAATCATGTACTTTTGAGCACAGGGCTGGCTCATAATACTCTCGGCAAATATTTGCAGACTGAAATGGCCACAATGTCTTCACTTTTTACTGTCTGTCATATTAGCTATAGTACTCAGGTGAGCAGTGGGTAGTCTTCATAGTAAGCAACGTAGGATTTAGATCCCATAGAATCTGCAGAATTATTCATTTGGTTCTAGTGATGTGATGAGTAAATCCTGAATAACTTCCTCTCTCATTTCCCACTTTTCTCTCTTAGTGTGAAGAGTGGCCAGATTCGAAATCTGGAGTCGGCCCGTGTCTCAATGGTTGGCCAAGTCAAACAGTAAGTCTTATTTTTTCCTTTTGGGCTGGTTAAAGGCTAAAATATGATATGGGAATTATAGATTGCTTCTCTTGTCTTGTACCTGTTCTACCATTCCAGTAATTTTACAGATGACTCAGTTGGGCCTGCCATATAGGTCTCACCTCTTTTTATGTCTTCTCTTCCTTCCCTCCTTCTCTTCCTTCTCCTTTCCTGCCCTACCTTTGTTATTTCTTTTTCTTCCCTCCCTCCCTTCTTTCCTTCCTTCTCTTTCAAAGCCAGTTAGTGTTTAAATATGCTATTATATTAGACAACTCTTAAGTGTTAAAAATTGAAGCATTCCAGAGAATAAACTTTAAAAACTTAAGTGTCCACTTTAGTGCTGGCAGATGTGATTTTATTCTGGCAACAGTCTCCTAAGCCAACTCTTGTTGTAAGGAAATTACAATATAAAAACTCTGACACAGCCAGAATGAAAGCCAGATACTAAAATTAAGCTAAAATTATTTAGCCCAATTGGTCTTTTTTGGTAGAGTTACATAGGTTCTGGGTATTGCTGTGTAGCCACAAAATAAACTATAGGTTACTTGATAAAATCTATCCAATAAAATAAACAAGACCGTAAAAGTTAGATGAAAATGATAATGGCATTATTGAGTGCTTACTATTTGTTAGGCACTGTTCAAAGTATTTTATATATACTGCCTTATTTTTTCCCACATTTTATTAGTGCATATTGGTTATACCGATTAATGGGTTTCATTTTGGTAGATTTGTACTTGCACATAACATACTTTAATCATTTCTCCCATCACCTCCCTTGCCCTACCCTCCCTAGTGTCACATGTTGGGGTGGGGGTGTATATAATACAGTGTATTTTAATCATATTTATGCTCCCTGTTGCCCATCCCTACACCCCTTTTTCCCTTCCTCTTGTCTGATAATAGTTTCACTTCTACTTTTGTGTCATTTTTTTTAGATTCCACATATTAGGGAGAGCATTCAATATTTATCTTTCTGAGTCTGGCTTATTTCACTCGTCGACATGATGATTTCCAGATCCATCCATTTTTCTGTAATTGACAAGATGTTGTTCTTTTCTATGGCAGACTGATACTCCATTGTGTATATATAGCACATTTTCTTTAGTCACCTGTTGATGGGCAGCTAGACTGGTTCCATATCTTGGCTGTTGTATATTGTGCTGGAGTAAACATGGGTATAGAAGTTTCCCTATGAAATGCTGACTTTAATTCCTTCTGGTATATACCAAGGAGTAGTATTGCTGGATCAAATGGTAGTTCTACTTTTAGCTTTTTGAGGAATCTCCCTATTGATTTCCATAATGGCTATAATAACTTACATTCCCACCAGCAGTGTAGAAAGGTTCCTTTTTCCTCACATCCTTGCCAGCATTTCTCAGTTTTTTTTATATTCTTGACAATAGCCATTCTGGCTGGGATAAGATAGATGTAGTTTTTCCCTAATGACTAAAGATGTTGAACATTTCATATACTTATTGGCCATCTGTACTACTTATTTTGAGAAGTATCTGTTCAATTCTTTTGCTAATTTATTGATTGAGTTGTTTGACTGTTTTGGTATTTTTGAGTTATTTTTATATTCTAGATGTATAAAGAAGTACACAGAGTAGCTGATAAAAATTTTTTCCCATCCTGTAGGTTGTCATTCCACTGATTATTTCATTTGCTGTGTGGAAACTTTTTAATTTGATGTAGTACTATTTGTTGATTCTTGCTGTTATTTCCTGTGGTCTTGGAGTTCTATTCAAGAACCCTTTGCTTATGCAAATTTTATTTCAGATGGTGTTTTCTCCTTAATTTTATTTCAGTGGTTTGTGAATATGTATATTTCAAATAGCCAGAATCTTTCCACCCTTTTTGATCTAGGTGAACTGCTTTGGACTTCCTTATCCCAGGCTTTGGAAGTTCAGAGCACAAGTTTCTTTGTAACACTTTTTAAAAAAAAATCATGCCATACTATGTAATAGCTGTAAAGCTTGGCACCTCAAGTTTCATAGAAAACCCCCACTTAGTAAAACATTTGTGACTATACACTTTACTGAAGGTTTGATAGAGGAGATAGAAGTTACAATTCTTAAAAATCTACTTCAGGCCCTTCAATTTATCAGTCTCTCTCTTGCTTGTTCTCTCCCGGCTCTCCTTTCTCTCTCTCCTTCTCAAGGCCAGTAACAAATCCCTTTCTATGATGCTGAGCAAACTTTGACACTAGCTGCACTTGGAATTTTTACCTTTAGTTCTTACCAGTGTATTTTTTCCATCAAATTCTCTCTAAAAGGAATTATGGTACAAGCCATTCATATAATAATTTTTCTACCTAATTACTTAATAAAGAGATACCATTTCTAAGATGGAAAAACAACAATAATTGCTTGGATCAGGTGATCTAATCTGCAAGGTTCAGCTGGCCCTGGTTGTTACAATTGGTGGTTTCTATCAGCTAATTAAAAAGTGGGACCTTTTATTATTGTATTTGACCCTTGTGCTGCTTAAGCAGGGTACAGCAGAAAAACACCATGCTTTGAAGTTAGTTGGCCTAAATTTACATCCCAGTCTTACCCACTAATGAGGTGGGTAATTCTGGGCAGTTTTTTTAATTCTTCAGGGTCTATTTCATAGGATTGTTATGAAGATTATATCAGAGAATGCCAAATAAGACTCTTGTCACCATGCCTCAGGAAATGGTTGCTCTCTTTTTGTGGATCAGTTTTGGTTATAAGAACTGGAAACCAGTTAGAGTAGAGTCACGCATTAGCCATAATCTTCTGCAGCCCTGGAAATGAACATTTTCACATCCTCCTCCTGATTATAAAGGGCCATAAATATGAATATCTTTGAGATAATTTGTCATAAAAACAGACATGTGATTGTTCTTTTTAAAAATCTAGGTGTGAAGGAATTGCAAGTCCAGAAGGCTCAAAATCTATAGTGGAAGGAATCATAGAGGAGGAAGAAGAAGATGAAGAAGGAAGTGAGTCAGTAAACAAAAGGAAAAAGGAAGATGACATGGAGGTAGGTGAAGGCCTTCCTTCTTGGAAAGATGGAGTAAGGGATGGTTCCATGTGTGGGTGGGGAAGGGGCAGAGAGATGATGTTTTTTTGTCTACCATTAGATATTTTAGGGGGTAGAAACACTATCATAAGAGATACTTAGATTAACTATGAGATATGAAACACTTTTGTAGCTCTGACCAATTGGAACATAAAAATTACAATATATACCCGGCCCAAATGTGTAATCTTTTGAGGAAATGGTTTTAAAAGCACTAAGTTTTACATTTCCACTAGCAGTATATGAAGTTTCCAGTTTTTCTGTATCCTTAACAACACTTATTATTGTCTCTCTTTTTTATTATAGTCATCTTACTGGGTATGGAATGGTATCTCATTTGTGGTTTTGATTTGTACTCCCCCAGTGACTGTTAATGTTTATCATATTTTCATATGCTTATTGTCCATCTATATTTCCTTTGTTCTGTTATCTCAGTACTGTTTTTGGAAGAGACTATCCATTTCCCAGTGAATTGTCTAAATACTCTTTTCAAAGGTCATTTTGACCACACATGTTAGGATTTATTTCTGGGCTCTCTATTCAATTCCTTTCATCTGTCTTTATGTCAGTTCCAAACTCTTAATTATTCCAGCCTGGTAATAGTTTTGAAATCAGAAAGTATAAGTTCTTTAATTTTGTTTCTCTTTGTAAAAATTGTTTAGTTATTGCAGATCTCAAGAGATTTTACATGATTTTAAGATCATAAAAAAATTCTCAAAATAATGCCATTGGGATATTGATGAGAGACTGCATTGAATCTGTAGATCACTTTGGGTAATATGGACATCATAACTACCCAGTGATCTTTAACACAGCATGTTACTATCTGATGTTCATGCTGAGATTTTTGTAAAGTGACTAATGCAGGAAAGTATGAAGAATCATTTATTTGTCCAGCTCATGTTTGGTGTATACTGTGTGCCCATCAACTTTCCAACTGCCACAGTATAATAGCTGTCGATGTTTTTCATATTTGTGCCATAGTTCCTGTTTTAGAATTCCTATTGCATGGACACTGTATCATCATAAATCAAAATATGAGAAAAAGGTACTCTACCAACAAATAAATTTTCAATTTTCCCACGTGGTCCCATAAATATAGTAATCTTAACTTAGATGATGTGTTGTACTCTGCTTCTGTCACTCAATGTTATATCGTAAGCTTTTTTTCATACTGCAATGTGGTCTTTGTATTCTTTTGATGGTATGCCCTTTTTGCCAACTAGGTATAAAAAGAGCTCAATGTTTGTTCTGTAGTTTACTGTCTTTGTGTCTTAAGAAAGTTTCTTAAGTTTATTGAAAACAACAGAAGTAGCTGAATATGATGGCACATGCCCCAAATCCCAGCTTCTTGAGGGGCTGAAGCAGGAAGATCAGTTGAGCCCAAGAGTTTGGGGTCAGCCTGGGCAACACAGACAGACATCATATCTTTTAAAAAGACACAGCAAGAGGTCCTGAGTTCAAGCCCTAGTACCCAAAAAAAGAGAAAGAGAGGTGGAGGGAGGCTTACTAGAATAAAAAAGAAAACTTGAAACTAAAAATTAAATTATAATAACCTATAAAGACTGTTTGTAGAGTTTTTTATATTTAGACTTTAAGCAAAGCAGTGTTTTTAAATTTACATTGAGATGTTTTTGAACTACTGTTGTTAACTTCATTCCTAAGTACTTTATATTTTTGACATAATTATAAGGCATTTTTAAATTTTATCTAATTGTTATCAATACATAGAAATTTAACTGATTACAGTATATGTATTGACCTTATAGCCTCTGATCTGACTAAACTAACTTCTAATAGTTTTCTCATTGATTTTACTTATTTTCACTTATTATTTTTTTGTTTTTTTGGTACCAGGGATTGAACTCAGGACCTCGTGCTTTCAAGGCAGGCGCTGGAACCACTGAGCTAAATCCCTGGCCCTCACATTATTATTATATGTTTATAATACATAACAATCATATTCATCTTGGGGAATTGGCACATATATTTCATCCTAATACTTTTTACTTCCCCTTCCTCTCCCTTCTGTTCTCTCCTATCCTCAGATCCCCTTCCTGTCTCCACAAAGTCTGCTTCCCTGCCTTCTGACTTATTTTGTTCTTTAAATAGTTTTGTATTTGGGGTTATTTTGTTATAAGAATTAAATGTATACTAAATGTCTGGGTTACGGTAGGTCCTTAGTAAGAGCTAGTTTCCTTCCCTTTCCTTTTCCCAGGGACCTAGTTTTTATCCTGTTTCTCTAGGAGTTGCCCTCAGAGACTCAGAACTTGCTCTTATTCCTCCAGACCAAGAAAGACCATCCATATACCTGGAGAATTGAACTGGCAAAAACAGAAAAATACTGGGATGGCTGGTTCCGAGGCTTATCCAATCTCTTTCTTAGTTGCCCTATTCCTAAATTGCTGCTCTTGGCTGGTAAGTGTAAGTGTGTGCCTATATTTGTCATCTTGGCTGCCATAATAAGATACCATAGATTGGGTGGCTTAAACAACAGTTACATATTTCTTCATAACTCTGGAGGCTGAAAGTCCAAGATCAGGGTACCAGTAAGGTTGAATTCTGGTATAGTTTCTCTTCCTGGTTTGCAGAGAGCTGCCTTCTCTCTGTGCTCTCACATGGCCAAGAGAAAGCAAAAGTGTGCTCTCTGGTGTTTCTTCATATAAGAACTTTAATTCTTTTGTATCGGAGACCCATTCTTATGACCTTATCTAACCATAATTACCATAATTATAGACCCTATCTTTAAATACAGTCACATTGTAGTTCAGGGCTTCAACATGAATTTTGGAGAACACAGTTTGGTCCATGGTATTGTGAGTATATTGTCATCTGGATATGATTGCATTAAAACTACTAATCAAACTTGAGTGCCTCCATCCTTTTCTATGCCCTTTCTCCTCATCCAATCCCTAACCTAGCTAAACATAAGCTTCCACCTGGGATGGCCTGCCTGATTTTGGCCTGGTCTTTGTGTCTGGTCAAACCCAAGTTGTCCTCCTAGACATAGTAGTATAATAGTAGACATAGTAGTATAATATTCTGTATATTACAAGAATCAAAACAGTAAAACTTTATTTCCAGAAACTACTTTAAATGAGCAAAATTAGTGCAGAGAAATCTCAACCTAGAAAGTTTCATCTGGTAAAAATACACCATCTGGGAGTCAGGGTTGTCACGAAGATGCATTGAGAATCATGCATCATGTTTATAACTTTGTAACAATTTTGACTTAGTGCTTGAATAGTAAAACCTATTTCATAGGGCCTTTTCTAGTAAGCTACTTGTGAATTTTCTTGTTTTATTCTAGGTGTTGATAGGTTGGATAAAGATCTAACCATTGGCCAGATGCAAGGTAAGTTATCTATAAGTTATACCCTAGAACCCTTTTCCGAGGGCAAAGAAACAGGGAGTTATGTGGAAATTAATATTCTGAGAAGGTAAGGTACAGTGGAGAGAGCATGAGTTTTAGAATCAGACCTGTTTGACATCCACTTCTACTTCAGACATGCCATATAGTTATGAGCAAGTATTTCCCTTTTTTGAGTATTGATTGCCTTTTTTGTTTTTCCATCTAAAAATGAGGATTTTATTTTACTTCATTCATTCATTCGTTTGTACTGGGAATCGAACTCAGGACCTTGTGCTTGCCATACAAGTGCTGTGCCACTGAGCCACATCCCCGGCCCTGTTTCTTTGTTTTTTGAGACAGGGTCTCGCTGTTAGTTCAGGCTGGCTTTGAACTTACTTGTAGCCCAGACTGGCCTCAAACTCACAGCAGTCCTCCTGCCTCAGCCTCCCAAGTGCTGGGATTATAGGCATTGTGCCACCATGCCCTGCTAAAAATGGGGATTTTTAACATCATTGATGTCTCAGTTATAAGAATTAAAATGAGGCAATGTATTAGAAAGTTAGAAAGTACTACGTAGGTATATAATATTGTGAATGGAGATATTCTAAATATTGATCAGTATTTTTATTATTGTTTAGGAATAATATAGAATTTTAAGGAAAATATAAAATATGTATAGAATTTTTGAGGAAAGGGAAATGTCCAGGATACTCTAGATACCAAAAATTATAAAATCTGTTTAGAAGATAACGTGTAAAGAAGAGGTAAAAGGCTCCAAAGCTGGGCGAAGTGGGTTTTGAATATTGCTCTCTGACCTGCCTCTGCATCAGTTTTCTAAATGTGTAAAATGAGAAAATTAATGGCAGCCTCAAAGGGATCATATAGTATGAGTAGGAAAGTGATGTGTTGAGCACTGTGTACAGGTGCAAGTCTGTTTGCCATATGGCACTGGAGGCAGTGGGACCAATTCTGTGGAGTTTCTTGTTTTAGTATAGGTAAAAGAGTTGCTGAAGGTGGAGACAATAGACATTGCAGCTTTGGGGGTGGGGAAAGAAGAAGTACCAGCAAGCGTATGATACCTAGTTCCTCATTAGATGCCCTCCCGTTTCTTCAGAATTGATTATGGCAAGAGCACTTTCTCTTTTAAAGCAAGTATCCTATGAGTATAGAAAATAAATAAGTAGATTGAGAGATAGCCTATAGAACAAAGGGAAGTGGCTAAGTCTGCATAGATTCTAAAGCACAGCCTTCCCAGTACTGTGTTCAAACGAGCTAAATTTGATATAGGATCCTAGAAACCTACCAGTTACTCATGAAGTGACTTGATTATATAATTTAGGTTCTCTGAACCTAAGGTCTGTAAAATTAGAGAAGATTTGGAATATTCCTGATTCATAGGATAATTGAGGATTATTTGGGGTCATATTATTTTATGTGTATACAGCACAGTGTTATTAATATGTGTGAGTTCTTCCTAACTACTTACTCCCACTCTTCCAAATGAAGAATGGAAAGTACATCCTGAGTCTTCAGAGGCTGATCTAATAGAAAGGCCAGGGGATTGGAATTACAGGGTTTGAGTCTAATCATTCATTCAAGACTTACTAAGCACCTACTCAGTACCCCAGGGATATAGAGCATGTAATATTACCAGTCCCATTACCACAGAACTGACATGCTCTTGGGGAAGCAAACAACAGAGGATGTAAAATATAAGCTTACACAACAAGAGGGCCACACACTGCTGTTTGGATTATGAATGCAGTTAGATCTACCTTAAGAGATACAAGGAAGAGATGGCTGGGCTGGTGCCCCCAGAGCTTATAGCAAGAAAAGAGGGATATTAGCTGGGTTTTACTGAATGGAATGGTCTCAGGCCCTGAACTAATTAAGCAGCCTTGGACAAGATAGTTCTCTAATCATGGCTTCAGTTTCATCATCTCAAAAATATTTCATATTTATCCTGTGTTAATTTATAGGGTAGATTTGAGAATCAGTTTTAAGAATGGATAGAAGAGTACATTGGAAACTTCTTGAAGCACTGTGTAACTGGGCAAAAACCACAAGCTATGATGATTAGGACTTCCTGAGCTTATTCTCTTATTTTATAAAAGGAAAAACTGAGGCTCAGAAAGTTTGTTCTCTCTGCGTATGAGATCTGTAGGTCCTGTATCCTTTATCTCTTTGGAAATCTTTATCAATCATCCCACCCCCCTTTTTTTTTGCTTGGGATTGAGCCTGGAGCCTCAATACCAGGCCTTATGCATGCTAGGCAAGTGTTCTACTACTTTCACGTTAGTTGTGAGCTTACCATGTTCCATAAAACAGTATAAGAAAGTAGTTAGTATATATTACCTGGCACTGAAATGCTCAAGTAGCAACTTCTTATAGTAATAAAATTTCAAGAACTTTAATATATCTTACAAAATCCTTAATGTTGTCCCTGCTCACATCTTTAGCTTTACTGCTAACCATTCTCATAAACACCATATCAGTCTTCTTTTATTTTGAGGAACAAATACCATTTAAGGCCTTCTTTTCTTTTTCCCTTTGCATACGCCCTCCTGGATACCTGCTGGATTGTGAAGCTTCTTTTCCCAAGATTTTAAAGCCCTACCCATGTGCCCAGTTTCATGATATGATCTATGTACTACATTCAAATGTTGGGTTTTGTGTTTACTCCTCTTCTGGACTATAAGTCTCATGAGGACAGATTATTTTCTGCTATGTGTTTTGCCCAAAGTAAATGTACACTAAAGTCTGGAAGGAAAAAGTATAGGGAAAATGATTGGCTCCAGGTTACATTTACAGGTGTTAATGTCCTCATCAAAGACTTTGTAACTGACTCCAGAGGTTTTTGGGTATAAGGTGCTAGATTCCTGGAGTGACCTGTAAAGCTCCAGACATGGTAAGGAGAGATTTAAATTCATGAGATTACCTGGCTTTGTTTCCTCTCTAGGGAAGTTCCAGATGCAGGTCCTACCCCAGTGTGGCCATGCAGTCCATGAGGATGCCCCTGACAAGGTGAGTCTGGTGCTCAATGAATATAAAAGGACAACTGTGAGAGTAACCTTGGATGTCACAGAAGATTGGACGAGCCTCTGAATCTCAGTGCTTACCTGAAGAAGCTGCTGTGGGGTCTATGAAATTCTATCAGCTCCCCAAATGTCTCCCTAGCAGCTGCCTATGGTCTTGCTTTTGTGTGTCTTGGCTGAGGAACTGCTCTTTGATCCCATGGTCCAAAGGTTAAGATCTTAAAGCTCTACTACTCCATTACCCCCTTTTAAAAGCCAGGTGGAAGAAGGGGTAATGAGGGTTGAACTACACCTTAAACTCTAGTCATGGGAAGTAATAAGGGTTCCTCCTGTGGAAAAAGGTGCTTTGTAACTGTAAGGAGATAAGCCCTCATTCCTTCTGACCTGTCTGGAGCAATTCCTGGCAAGGATGGAGGGGAGGGGCCTCCTAGCCCAGGTCCTTTTGATATCAAGGTACTCAGACTGATGGGATTCATGAGGACACCATCAAGCCTCTCCTTCCAGGAAGAGCCCACACGACTTCCAAGGCTAAGCACCATCACTGGCTTTTATATAATCTGGAATATCTCTTCCCTTTTCAGGTAGCTGAAGCTGTTGCCACTTTCCTGATCCGGCACAGGTTTGCAGAGCCCATCGGTGGATTCCAGTGGTAAGGATGTGCCAGGGCTTAGGAGCCCAGCAGTGCGGCCAACACCAACACATAGGTATATGCAGGGCTGTGAATATCTCAGCCTAACCACTACCTGCTCTGGGTCACCATGCCTCTTCCTCTTCCTCAATAGACCCTGCCATGCATGCTTCCACAAAGCCACATTGGATGCTTGTATATGCTGTGCCAGTAGATTGTGGCTGTGGTTAAGTCTGCTTTATCTCCTGACCCTCACTGTGATGAACATTTCTTACCCCTTCTCTGAGGAGGCTAGGTTGAGAATCAGTCCTTATCTAGAGAAGTTCTTTATATCTTCTCTTGCTCTACTGCTGAGCAGAGCTGGGCAGGTCATGGAGTTTGCGTGGAAATCTAGAGCAAGGTTTTCAACCCCAGCACACTTCAGGATGTGTGATTCTTTGTTGTAGGGAGTTGTCCTATGGATTGTAAGATGTTGAGCAACATCAATGAACTCTACTCACTAGATGCCAGTAGCACCTCCTACACACTGTTCCACAACCAAAAATACCTCCAGGTATTATAGTATGTCTCAAGGGAGGCAAAAGTAAGAAAACCACTGGTCTAGAGGAAGAGTGGGGGCCAGGCCTCTCATCCTAGGAAGTTTGTTGAGAAGGAAGGAGAGGCAGGTTGACCCTAACCAGGGAGTTTGGCTTACCTCATGAGCACTTAGTCTGTGTCGTGGAAGGCTCTCGTTCCATCAGCATCATAAGGAGTCACTTTTGCCATTGGAAAGGTGAAGGTTCAGGAGTACTGGCTTCCTACCCTCAGAAAGTTTGAAGAAATTTTCTCTGTCTTAAACAACTCTGAATGCAGGGCCTTGTTGATGAGAGTGACAGGCTGGTTAGGCATCAGAGATGATGACGGGAGCCTAGTACAGTGAGCCACAGAAGTGACAGTCTTGTCACATCATACCTGTAGCAGCTGAACCATTGAGAACCAGAAATCAACAGTGAAGATTTAATTTCTCTGAATAAACTGTTTGACTGAGGTCCCTAGACTATTTGGAGCCTTCGTCCAATGAACAATACACTGAGTGCAGACCCTTTGTCTAGCTGTGGCGGGGCAATGAAGAGATGGGACAGAGCTGCAAGGGCCATGGTCGTCATTAGAGCAAGGCTTCCTGAAGAGGACATGATAAACGGGAAAAGCTAGGAATGGTTAAATTTGTTTTCTCTTCTCTTTTTATCCTTGACAGTGTGTTTCCTGGCTGTTAGTGACCTGCTATCTACCCTACCCTCAACATTGAGCTCTGTTGTAAATACAACGCACCAGAGGCCACTGTGATGCCGCTGTTTCCTCCTCACCATCCTGTCCAGCCACGTGACACCGGCTCCCCATAGATGGGCATCCCTAGATGTGTAAACCCTGTTGTGTATTCCTACCCAAAGCATTATTTTCCAGGCCCCTTGTCCAGCATTGGCCTTCCCAGTCCAGAATTCTTAGCTCTTACCCCTTCCCTGGGGAGGGGTAGCCCCTGTCTGTTTTCCTTGCCTTGCTTAGGGTGAAGCCTCCAGAGCTACCACCCTGGGCTTTGATTCTTGGCATCTGGCAATGCACCTGGATCCAAATGTTTCCCCAGGCTCAGGGACCTTCATTCCTTGATATTGTTCTTGGCATGGTCCTGCCTTACCTCATGGGATGGACAATGCACAGGGTGATCCTTATTTCTCCCTTTCAAATAAAACACCCGTCAGGTACCGTTTTATCCCAGTCTTACTCTAAACAGGTTGAGAAGACCCAGAGAGGCCAGGAGCCCAGCCTTAGATACAGGAGGGGTGGTGGATAGCAAGCATCACAAGAAACCAGTCTGAAAATCAGGTCCAGCCAGTCCAAGCACATGGGCTCCCATCTGGGTGAGCCCACTGTTCCACTCCCACATGTCCGGGCACCTGCCCTGGGCTGAGGCCAGGCTGCTCCAGGGGCTTCTTGAGCCCTCACCTGCCCAAAAGCACCCCAGGTTAAATACAGCCCATGCACAAAGCCACAGGCTGAACCCTGTGGAATTGTTTTTAATAATTTAACCATTTTCGTAGTTGGTTCCTGGAGGTGTGCAGAGTGCCCACTTGCCTTTTCTAGACCATAGCTTCTCATTGCCATTTGTGGTTTTCATGTCACTCTACATAGAAACATTACAACCTTGCACCCTCAGTCTTTGCCCTTGTCTTTGCCCTCAGTCTTAGCTGCCTCATCCCAGCACTGAGGTTTCCCCCTGCTGCCCAGGCACGCCATTTCCAAGGGCAAGGAGGGGAAGTCTCCTAAAGCCCATCTTCTTTGTGACTGTCTTAGGTAGTCCCCTCTACCTTTCACCCAACAACTTCCTTTCCCTGTCCTGCTGCATGGTCCAGAGTCTGGGACCTACTTTGTTTCTTTGTATTTATGACCTTGTTTGAAGAAAATAAATATTTCCCAACCTTTATTCAGCTGGTCTTTCTCTCTGGAGTTATCTTTATTTCTGCTAATCTAGGGTTACGGGAAGGTTCATTAGACTTAGTTGCCACAGAACTCCAAAAACAGCCAGATGTGGTGGTGCATATCTGTAATCCCAGAACTCTGGGAGGCCAAGGCAGGAAGATTGCAAGTTCAAGCACAGCATAGACAAGTTACTGAGAGACTCTGTCTCAAAAAGTAGGGTGGGAAGCTGGGGATATACCTCAGTGCAAAGCCCCTGGGTTCAATTCCCAGCACTGAAGAAAGAAAAAAACTCCCCAAGCCACTTTCCCTATAGTCTGTCAGTATCTTGTGTTCTGCCTGCTCACTAGATCTGAGATACACAATGTGATGGACAGAGCCACTCTTGCCACTGTCCAAGGGAACCTGGATTCCAGTCCCCTCTCTACGGATGCAGAACAGGACAGTGCACACATGACCTTAGTCACTCATGGCTTTACTTATGCCAACACCAAAATTTTATTCACAACCCTGATTACATCCACTGAGCCATAGACTTGGGTCCATCTACTTAAACTCATGTCTCCCAGATGACCAAAAGCCACTTCATAATGACCTTGCCTCCATGAAATTTGTTCTTGCTCCTATGTTTCCTAGCTCAGTAAGAAGTACAACCATGTCTCCAGTTGTCTAGACAGAGCACCCAGAGTCCCCTTAACTGGTGCCCCTCGTATACTAATCTGCCACCAAATGCTGTCCAGTCTCTCTTTTTTTTATGTCCCTGTTTTCTATTGCACAGCCACTCCCTAGCTTAGCCCTCTTTGTCTCTCACCTAGCTCACTCTGGTACCCCCCCTTGCTGGTTTCCTACCAACCTCCAACCTGGTCATCTTTCCCCACACTATTAGAGTCATCTTCCTAGCAGACTCTGGGGCCAGGGTGCCTAAATTAGAACCCAAGGTCCAGCCCCTACTGGCTGTATGATGAAGCAACCTACTTTCTTTCTGTGCTGTGGTTTCCTCATCTAGAAACGAGATAAGTAGCACCTACCCCACAGGGTCCTGAAGAATACGTTAAAATAGGTCACCTGGCTCTCTCTTAAAGAGTAACTGGCACATGGTAGACAGTTAATAAATAGTTCGTGTTATGTCATACTCATAAAGACTTTCTTTACTCAGAATGGTCCATGTGCCAGTACCATCAGTATCACCTTATAGGTTTTGTCCCTGCTCCAGACCTGTTGAGTCAGTACTGATCTGCATTTTAATAAGTGCATTGATGTTGGAGAAGTTCAGGTTTAGATGTTCACCTAATATTTCTTTTCGAATCGGGTCCTTGCACTTGTGAGGCAGGCAGTGGAACCACTGAGCTAAATCCCTGGCCCAACTCACCTAATATTTCCAGGTAAAGCATGAGCTGTCTACCAGAGGAGAGAAGGGCCTGCCTTCTGTGTGATCTGATTTCTCCCACCAATCTTCTGGGGGTGCCTCCACTGAGCTGTATGCCCTTATGTCCACAGTGGGGCAGCATGGTCACTTGTGTGGTTTTCAGGGACACTCATTTCAGCTACTTTTGTTGGCCAGGCAAGATGAAATAATTACCAAATTTTTAGCATCATATAATTTACTTGACACAAATCATTTAATCCTCAGATCAATGCTATGAAACAAGTACTACTATATTTATTTTACAGGTAGAAACATCCAAATTCACACACATTAGAAGTGACAGTGCCAGAATTCAAACCTAGGTTGTTTCTATGTAACGCTGCCTCCTGAATGATATGAGAGATCCTGGACAGAAATCACTTGGACCCAGATACTTCACTTAAAACAGCAGGACGAGGTGTGATAGGAAAATGAGACCTTTTTAGGTTTGATGACTGGAGTCTGACAATGAAATGTTCCTTGATCTTTTTGTTTTGAGACAAGTTTTGGTTTTTTTTACTATGTAGTTCAGGCTGTCCTTGAACTCACTTATGTAATCCAGGCTGGCCTTGAATTCATGGTGATCCTCCTGCCTCAGCCTCCCAAGTGCTGGGATTGCAGGTGTGGGCCACCACGCCCAGCATTCCTTGAGCATCAAGTACTGTGCTAAGCACTTATATCTCCATTCATCCTTTTTCTACATGTCCAGCAAGTATGGGCATTGTCACCGATTTAAAGGCAAGAAAGCTGAGGCTGAGAGATGTGAAATGGCTTGTCCACAGCCATGCTAGGGTGGCAGCATTTTTGTCCTCTGATCCCAAGTTGTCTGAGCATCTACTACACCCCAACAGAGAAAGGGCCATTCATATATTCACTTACCAGATCTTTAAAGAGCACCTGCTCTGCGCTGGCTGTCATAGTGTCCTTGCAGAGCCTACAGATGAGCACAAATGAACTGAGGACCCTTGAATCAAGGAGACTCCAGCATCCTTGAATGAAAGCGTGTAACAGGTGCAGAAGCATGCCTGGGTCAAACCAAAGACCATTCTGTCACACACTAAAATATGTCCAAGAGGAACTCTGCAGAGAACAGGATAGGCAAAGTTTGGAGGCAGACAAATCTTGTTGGGGGAGGAGTAGACTCAAGATTGAGAGGAATTAGACAAAGGCAGGTGGGGAGTAGCACATGACTTCTTAGCACCATACTTTTACAAACACTCATGAACACTTACTGATTAAGCAAACCTGAACACCTTTTCTGTGCCAAGCCTCCAATGGAATATTGGAGACAGAGGTAAATAATGAGATCCTTATTATTAAGGTGCCCAGGTTGGGCATGAACTTGCAATCCTCCTGCCTCAGCCTCCCAGAGTTCTAGGGTTACAGATGTACACTACCATACTCAGTTTTTTCTCCCCTCCCACCCCAGTACTGGGGATCAAACTCAGGACCTTGTGCTTTTTTTTTTTGGTACTGGGAATTGAACTTGGGACCTTGCGTTTGTGAAGCAGGCAACGGAAACACTGAGCTAAATCCCTGGCCTGGGACCTTGTGTTTTTGAGGCAGGCTCAGTGCCACTGAGCTAAATCCCCAATAAGTGACTCAGTTTTAAAGTGTTATACTATGATCTATAAAACTAATCTTTTGTTGTTTTCTATTTTTTCCTGTTTGTAAAGAAAAAAAGACAGTAACAGGATTGGTTCCTAATATTTCTCACCAGATTTCCTTCCAAAGGATGTATTAATATATTGTCAGCAATGTTTATTTAAATATCTTAGGGAGTGGTTAAAAAAATAATGAGGCCCTTAAAATGAACTTACAGTCTAGGGAGACAGTTAACAGAAATTGTGACCACATTGTATAAAGGTTGTAGGGAACACTTCTTTGGAAACAAGCAAGGAAGGTTTCACAGAATTACCGTGAGCCTTAAAACATTGCAAGGTGGAGGTGGAGAGGAAAGGCAGTCTGTTTTATGTAGAGGGAATAGCATAGACCAGTGATGGTGAACCTTTTAGAGCTTTCAAGGGCACAAACAGCCCACTGTGGCACACTTGCCATAGGTTCACCGCAACTGGCATAGACAGACCCTGGAGATTCAAAGTCAGTCTAGGAACCAGTAAGTAGATTACTGTGACTGGTTGTAGGCTGTGACAGATGACCCAGGAGAGGAGATGTGGGACACAGGGCCTTGATTGGCAAGAGTGGAGAGTTAGAAGTTCTACTAAGCAGGAATGTGATGAGATCAGGTCTTTATTTTGTTGTGTGTGTGTGTGTGTTTTTTTTAGGAAAGTCATCGTGCATATGAGTTGTTGGACATTATACTAGAGGCAAGGAGATTAGTAAAAAGGCAGTTATAGTGTAGTAGTCCAGGTAAAAAGATAAGGGCATACCAAATTAGGACAGGAGCTGCAGGGATGAAAAAAACTGGGGAGGTGTAATGAACAAGACATATTAATGGTCTTGGAGAAAGGGGGACCAAGGACTAATAAGTTGGATTCAGGAGCCTGTCATCAGAATTGGGGATAAGGACTTAACAAGGTCAAGATCAATAAGGGAAAAGCACGAAGAGAGCCTACAGTAGTGGCAGAGAAAGCAAAAGCCAGTCCTCATCCCTGCAGCAACAGTGATTTGTTTACAGTCCTGGAGCCAACTCCTCTGCTGCCCCAACTGGCCATCCCTTAGCAGCCAGAATCAACACATTCCCAGTCTGGATCCAAGGCTCAGCAAGTTATGTAAACTCCAGAGATGCCCTTATTCCTCAAGCTGGCTTCCTCTCCGTGCAGTTTGCTAGAAAACCCCAGCCCAGAGCCAGCAGAAACCTTGGAACCTGAGACTGGCAAGGGGCTAGTCCTTCCCAAGTGGAGGGAATAGTTACATGAGTAGTTCGGGTGTTGAGGGAGAAAGTTTTTCCCTGATGGTCAGTGGTGATGCCACTTATCAATGGCTGATAGAGCATAAGCTTAGGGTAACTGACACTACAGACTCTGCTATTTATAAGTCACTGCCTTTACAACCTACAGCTCTGTGGCAAGGGGTAGGCCAGACAGCTTAGCTGTCCCATCCCACATAAGAAAATGGCACTCAGAGAAGAAAAATGACTTGGCAAAAGCCACACAATAGCTTAAGCTGGACCGGAGAGATCTGGCCACAACTCCCAGAGCAGTGTGTGCCCTACTGATCCTAAGCCATATCAGAGATGAGGTGGGACAGGTGTGTGGAGAATGGGCCTGGCTACAGGAGACAGGCTTCCAGCTCAGTACAGCCTCTTTCTCATTATCCAGCTGATTGTTGGCATATCACTTCTTTCTGAACTTCAGGTTCCTTATCTAAAAAATGGGGAGATAATGCCAAGTTTTGCGGGTTAAATGAGAACTGCATGTAATAAGTATAATGAATGTGTACTTCCTCTAGTAGATAAAGGAAAAGCAATAAATGCCAGGTGCTTAGAAGACAAGGGGATTATTCTTCTTGATTGGGAAACCCAAAAGAGGCCAGACAAAGGCAAAAACCATTATACACCCCCCCCCCCCATTCTGTGGGGCTGCTTTTAAGAAGAGTTTAACTTGTTGTGCACTTGGGGCCTGAATGCTGCACAGTACTCTAAACCCTCCTCTGGCCTGGGAATGTCTTCAAATTTAACAGTTTTTTAAAATGATGAAATATATAAAACATAGTATTTATCATTTTAACCATACACAAAGGTACAGTTCTGTGGCATGTAAGTAATATACACAATGCTGTGTACCATCACCGCCATCTATACACAAAACTTTTCTATCATCTCCAATGGAAACAACGTACCCATTGAGCAGAACTCCTCCCCTTTATCCCCAGTTCCTAAGAACCTCTATTCTGCTTTCTGTATCTGAATTTACCCATCTAGGTATCTTGTATAAGTGGAATCACACAATAACAATACATATCCTAGGTCTGGTTTATTTTATTAAGCATAATGTTTTCAGGGTCCATCGATGTTGTAGCATATATCAAACTTCATTCCTTTTTGTACCCGAATAACATTCCATGTGTGCATATGCCATATTTTGTTTATCCATGCATCTGTTGATGGATTCAGATTGCTTCCACCTTTTGGCTATTGTGAATAATGTTGCTACAAATATTTGTGTACAGATACTTGTTCAAATAACTGCCTTCATTTTTTCAGATACATACCTAGGAGTAGCGGTATTCTTTCAGATATATACCTGCAGTCATATGGTAATTCTATTTGACTTTTTTGAGGAACTACCAAACTGGTTTCCACAGCAGCTACATTATTTTATATTCCCACCAGTAATGCACAAAGATTTCAATTTCTCCAAACCTTGTCAATACTTATTTTCCATTTTTAAAAAATTATAGACATCCTAGTAAGTGTAAAGTGGTACGTCATTGTGTTCCTCTAAGTTTTGTACTCTCAGACAACTGTTATAGAAGGAGAGTAAGTGGGGTGACCCTGGGCAAAGCACCCACATAGGGGTTTAAAGTCAGGCAAATGCGCTGATGCATCAGGTCCAGGCTGGGCCTTACCTTGCTGGTCACCGTCGCATAATACAAGAGATTGAGGGACTGGGGCGGCAGGGAAGGGAAGGGTGGTCTTTAGTCCCGGGCACTGCAGGACTGAGCAGTGGTGGCAAGTGTGAGATGGCCTACAATTCCTGTTCTCTGCTTATCACAAGAGGTTCCAGCACCTAGAACCTCAAAGCACAGAAGGAATTCTGAAGCTGGGTGGTGCCTCCTAGGAAGCCACATATAATTTTTGAGATTTTTTAATTTGATAAATAAAATGTTTTCTCAAAACAGATTATAAAATATAAAGTTAGACAAAAATCTTCCCTCCTAAAGTTATCTCTCTGAATTTCCAGGACTACAGAATTTTAGGTTTATCAGGACTCATACACTGGTGAGTTAAGGTGATAAGCACTATCCCTCCGCCATAACACACACACACACACACACACACACACACACCTCATTATCTCTCAAGAACCAAATCAAATGTTGCATGAACCCCATCACATGAAAGATATATTCGTGTTTCTCATAATTTTTGAAGCACTTTCTTTTTTCACTAATAGTTCACTAGTATCATCATTATATTTTCATATATGTCAATATTTTCACAAGTATTTCACTAGTATTGTCATTGAGGGTTTTCTTCTCTGGGAGCTCAAGGACAGAAAATTAGTCATCCTGCTCTCCCCAGCCCTAGTGAAGGTCCTGGTGCAGAGTCAACAGCAGTCATACTTAGTTGGATGAATGACAGACCACACATACAGTCTGTGCCCATGAAAACATTGTCAAGGGCTGGGACCATCCTTTGCCCACTGTGCTCCTCCTGTTCCAAGAAGCACCTGTGGAGCTTTGGAAAAAGCATGGATCTCTAAGCCAGGAAACCATGCTTCTAGCCTTGGCTCTGACACACATTGTTAATTGTAGGCAAGCGGCCAGGCCTGGTGGCACACACCTGCAATCCCAGCACTCGAGAGGCTAAGGCAGGAGAATCTCTGTGAGTTTGAGGCCAACCTGGGCTACACAGTCCAAGACCAGTCTGAACTACATAGTGAGACCCTGTTTCAACCACCCCCACCCCCACCCCATACAGGCAATTGACTTCATCTTTCTGAGCTGGGGGAAATAACTGCTCTCTGCCTCCATCAACTGGTAAACAGTTGAACAGGAGGCGTGGTAGGTATCATAGTTACATTCTGTCCAAAAATATGGTGAACCCTGAACAAGGCAGAGATGTAGTTGTCTGCAAGCATCCTTCTGAGCCATGCCCTTAAGCCCGTGGCCAAAAAATTTGTCACCACCCAGCTCTCCTGATACCTAGAATCTATCCTCGGCACTTCATTTCTTTGAGATAATTTTTTATTTTCCCAGGACTCCTATTTCAAGTGCAAATATGTCCCTTGCAGGAACAGGGAAGCTTCTGTCACTCAACCCTTAGGGGAACAGGCAGATCAAGCACTTGATGGGGCAGGGAGATAAAGGAAAGAGTCAGGCTCTTGTTTCTGAGAGAAAA